AAAAATCCCAAATTAAATATAATATGACATACACTTTAAGAGTGTGAAGTTTTTTTTTGTTTTTTTTTTTTACAATATCCAGTCAGTGCATCCCTAAGGGCTCGTTCACGCCATGGTGCAGAGCCATCAGTCTGCATGCATTCTGCAAGGGCACAATGAAATCAATTGTTCTCTATGTGTCTTGTTCACACCTCAACAATAGTATCACATGCAGATTTTTTTCTGCTCAGGAATCTACAACATGTATAAAACCCATTGAAGCGCACATGAAAATTGATGTAAACTGATGTCTGTGCAAGTGAAATCTGTGCATCAATTTCCATCAGTTTTTCTGCACATATGGTGTGTACGAGGCCTAATGGTTTTGTGAAATACATTTATGTGCACTGTAAAATACAGTTTATATGTAAAATAAAAGCACTGCCAGGAGATGACACTACTCTAATTGCTAGTATGATCTACTGTATATGAAAAATGCATATTTTAGCACAGGACAGAGATATATTTAATGCTCACACGGGCTCATTCAAATCTATGCAATGCAAGCATGGGCAAGCCTGGACTAAGAGATGATTCACATATGTGAGGTGTTGATTGAAGCTCAGACTGCACAGCTAATTGATAAAGTAGTTGCTCATTGGTTCATGACAGATTTACATCAGGTTCAGGACAGGATTAGCTCAGGATCTTATCCTGTTCACACATATGTGGTTTAGAAACGGTTCCCATAGAACTCAATAGCCTTTACTCCACACCTAAATCTGAAGGCATTACTTAGAAATTGGACAGCCCTCTTTTTCAATTCGGACTGAATCCTCACCACCAGTGCCATGATCCCCTATTGCCCGGGGGCCCCATGAGTTGTCAGTCCGCCCCTGCCCCAGACAAATGTGAACAGGCACCATAGAAAGCAATGTTTTCCTCACATGTCATGGGGATTGGATGCGGTTCAAACCACATTGATTCTGCATATATGTGAACAGGCACTAAATTTCCACTACCCAGGCTGCAGACAGTGTAGGAGGTCACAGCTGTCAGAGGAGGAAAGAAAGGACCAGTGGGCAGGGCTGCTGTTAGAAACCATGGGGCCCCACACAGTCAACCTGATAGGCCCCCCCCCCCAAAAAAAAAATGTTTACTATGTTTCAGTTGTGAATGAACATTGTGAGTGATCAGTACCAATCACTCGTGTTCATTCAGGAAAGGAATGGGCTGGTAAATGTGAAATATTTATTGGAACTTTCCCCCACACTCCATCCTGAAGGATCCTATTGTATGATTGCAGCTGCCGGTGGGAAGGAGAGTAAGAAAGCCAGCAGAACTCCGGGGGTGGGGGCACACAGGGGGGCCTGCACAGCAGGGGGAAATGTATGGAGCCCAGGGAGGGTGATGGGTGCAGAGGGGGGGCAATTACTAGACCCGATCCCCCCATTGCAGCAACTGAAAGCCAGCGGGAGGGAGAGGAGAAGAAGCCGGTTTTCAGCTGCTGCAGAGAGAGCCATACAATGGATTGGTTCCAATAATGGCCACCTACCATGCTGATCACCCTCTCTGTGCACATCTGATTCACCCAGCTGCCTGGGCCCCTCTGCTGGCCTGGGCCCAGTACAGGAGGACTAGTGGTACCCCCTTATCCACGATGGGGGATGATGTATAGGTTAGTGTATTGAATGGGCTGGGTGGATTATTACAAAAAATAATCCACAAAAAAGGTTTACTTAAAGCCAAATCAATGGAAGCAACCTAGCTCTTTTAGATGCTAGACAAAAATCCTTTTGGTTAGCTGCAAGAAACCTCAAACACTGTGTTCTGGCCAAACAGGAAGATTCAGGCCAATGCAGAATTTCATTATGAGGAGGACTTGACATGAAGACTAACTCTGCAGGTCAGAGCCATCTTAATAGCATTATGGGCCCCTGGGCAAAGTAATGCACTGGGATCCCTACGAGCCTGGCCCAATTTACGCACCTATTCTCAAGAATTAAAGTATAAATCATTGATAGAAGTAAACATATATTTATTAGTATAAAGTTGGATAGTTACTTGTGAGCCACTAGGAGTTTTCTTTCTATATGTAAACTCTATTATCAATTAATTTCGTACATAAAAAATATAAAAAAATATAAAATACAAAAAATAATAAAATAATACAAATTAGTTGATTGCGTGCTTAAATTAATATTTATGAAATATTAGATCGCCAGGTACTTATTACACCCTCTCTAGGTGTATAAATGTTAACCATAAATGCCAGTATTGTACCGCGCTCCAATATATTCTACCTTATGTGATATTATTAATTCCTAAGTGTACCACCGATAATCAAATAATTACATCAATCAATTGTACTTAAATATATGATTTGTGTAAATATATTAGATAAATTATTTTATAAATGTGAAAAAAAAAAAAAAAAAAAAAATGTAAATAAAAAATATAAATAAAAAATATTTGAAGTGGGAATGAGGAAAGGAAAGAAAGGAAAACTAATGCAGACAACACATCTAATGATTGGATTAAGCCAAGCAGCCAGAGGAGAAAGTCCTACTGAGAAGGCTGTGCTGAGGAGAGAGGAGAGGAGAGAGGAGAGAGAGGTTCACGCAGTGGACACAGACTCATCACACTATCCAGACTGAATAATAACACCATCTCATTTACACAGAAGAGAACTGTCATTCCCACTTCAAATATTTTTTATTTATATTTTTTATTTACATTTTTTTTTTTTTCACATTTATAAAATAATTTATTTAATATATTTACACAAATCATATATTTAAGTACAATTGATTGATGTAATTATTTGATTATCGGTGGTACACTTAGGAATTAATAATATCACATAAGGTAGAATATATTGGAGCGCGGTACAATACTGGCATTTATGGTATATATTTATTAGTACTTTCAATAAAATCGATTTTAAACAATAAGAAAATATGCCATAAATCAAAGACTAATCAACACAAAGGGCACAGTACAAGGGATAGGAAGGAGGGCACAGTATAGGGGGGAGATGTAATTCCAATTGTAGATTTAGCCCAGTGACAGGCTGCTGCTGTCCTCATAGCCCAGATTCTGGGACACTGCCTGGGACATGGCCATTGAAACAGCTTGGTAAAAAGCATGACTGTCCTGGCAAATCCAGGACAGTTGGCAAGTATGATGTAATGCAAGATTATCATAGGATTTCCATGCACCTGGGGCCCCTGGGCCATGCCCAGGGGTGCCCATGCATTAAGATGGCCCTGCTGCAGGTGTCAGCTGACCAAGTGTTGTTCTTGATTGCTAAACTTGAGACTTGTGGGCTTCAGCACATGGAAATGTAGCCCTTACTATATTTTGGCACTTTTCGCAAAAATGCCCAGCTGCAAGCGCTTGATTTTCACTAAACCCACTGCTATATCCAACCTTGTCCAGGGATCCAGACAGACCAACCAGTTAACCAGTACATTATTTACTAATTGTCACAAAATGTTGACGAGTGAGGAAAATGTTCTACTAATGATGTACTCTCATTGACCACTTTATAAGGTACACCTGTTCAATTGCCTGGTAACACAAATTGTTAATCAGCCAATCACATGGCAGCAACTCAATGCATTTAGGCATCTAGATATGGTGAAGACGACTTGCTGAAGTTCAAACCGAACATCAGAATGGGGAAGAAAGGGGATTTAAGTAACTTTGAATGTGGCAAGGATGTTGGTCCCAGATGGCCTGGTCTGGGTATTTCAAAAACTGCTGATCTACAAGGATGTTCACACACAACCATCCCGAGGGTTTGCAGAGAATGGCCAGAAATAGAGAAAATAACCAGTGAGTAGCAGTTGTGTGGCCGAAAATGCCTTATTGATGTCAGAGGAGAATGGGCAGACTGGTTCAAGATGATAGGCAACATTAGCTCAAATAACCACTCTTTACAACCAAGGTATACAGAATACCATCTCTGAACGCATAACACGTTGAACCTTGAAGCAGATGGGTTAAAGTAACAGAAGACCACACCAGGTGCCACTCTTGTCAGCTAAGAACAGGAAACAGAGGCTACAATTTGCACAGGCTCACCAAAATTAGACAATAGAAGATTGGAAAAACGTTGCCTGGTCTGATGAGTCTTGATTTCAGCTGCGACATTCAGATGATGGGTTCAGAATTTGGTATAAACAACATGGAAGCATGGATCCATCCTGCCTTGTATCAACAGTTCAGGCTGGTGGTGGTGGTGTAATGGTGTGGGGGATATTTTCTTGGCACACTTTGGGCCCCTTAGCACCAACTAAGGGTTGGTTCAACCACTAGCCTACAGGGCACTTATACCCCCTTCCTGCCCAGGCCAATTTCCAGCTTTCAGCGCTGTTGCACTTTGAATGACAATTGCGCAGTCATGCAATACTGTACCCATATGAAATTGTTATCATTTTTTTGTGACAGATAGAGCTTTATTTTGGTGGTATTTAATCACCTCTGGGTTTTTTATTTTTCTTAAACAAACCAAAAACCACTGAAAATTTGGAAAAAAAAACGTTTTTTTTCTTAGTTTTTGTTATAAAATTTTGTAAATAAGTGATTTTTCTCCTTTACTGATGTGCGCTAATGAGGCTGCACTGATAGGCACTGATAGGCTGCACTGATGGACACTGATAAGTGGCACTGATGGGCACTGATGAGGAGGCACTGGTAGGTGTCACTGGTGGGCATTGACAGGCATCACTGATGGGCACTGAAAGGCAGCACTCATATATGGCACTGATAGGTGGCACTGATAGGCGGCACTGACTGGCACTGATGACTGACTGGCACTGTTAGGTGGCACTGACTGGCACTGTTAGGCGGCACTGATATGCAACACTGACGGGCACTGATAGGTGGCACTGACTGGCACTGATAGGCGGCACTGACTGGCACTGATAGGCGGCACTGACTGGCACTGATAGGTGGCACTTATTGGCAGCACTGATAGGTGGCACTGACTGGCATTGATAGGTGGCAATGACTGGCACTGATGGGTGACACTGAAAGGCAGCTCAGATGGGCACTGATATGTGGCATTGATGTTGCCTGGTAGGCACTGAAATGTGGCATTGATGTGGCACTGATGGGCACTGGCAGGTGGCATGGATGAGCACTGACAGCTGGTAGTGATGGACACTGACAGGTGGCACTGCTGGGGCTACACAGATCATCAGGGCACACTGATCATCAGTGCCCTGATGATCAGTGTACATGTCCCCTCTGAGGGACGCCGATTACCAGCTCTCTCCTCCTCTCGAGCTGTCAGCGTGACAGCTCATGAGGAGAGAAATGCCGATAGCCAGCATTTACCTGTTTACATGTGATCAGCTGTGATTGGACACAGCTGATCACATGACCGAGCCAACATCTTTGGCTCTTTCCATTGATCGGTGATCCGCTGTGTCTGAGGGACACAGCGCACCACAGATCGCCGCGCTGCACACTCCTGGAGCCACGTATGCGTGGTTAGAATGGGAGGAAGTCATATGACGTCCTCCCAGAATGAGAGAACCGCCTTGCGTCTGTCATTTTACTATATGGCGGGCAGCAGGTGGTTTAAACACCACAGCCTACCTGAGTATTGTTGCTGAGCATGTCCATCTCTTTCCGACCACAGTGTACCCATCTTCTGATGGCTACTTCCAGCAGGACAATGCACCATGTCAAAAAGCTCAAATCATCTCAAACTGGTTTCTTGAACATGACAATGAGTTCACTGTACTCCAATGGCCTCCACAGTCACAAGAACTCACCTTTGGGATGTGGTGGAATGGGAGATTCGCATCATGAATGTGCAGCCAACAAATCTGCAGCAACTGCATGATGCTATCATGTAAATATGGACCAAAATCTCTGAGGAATGTTTCCAACACCTTGCAGAATCTATGCCACGAATAATTAAGGCAGTTCTGAAGGCAAAAAGGGGTCCAACCCGGTATTAGCAAGGTGTACCTAAATAAAGTGGTCAGTGAGTGTAATTTCTATAGAAAACTGATTTAATCTCTTGTATATACCTGCATTATATTACTTGTATTATCATTTTATAGTCTATTTACACATAAACTACCTTTCTGAGATCTTCATGAAAGTGAATTAATCAATATGTCATTTTATTTGATTTTCCCCAAAGGTAGAGCTGACCTATTTGTGCATTTAAATCTGAACATGTGCTGCTTGCTTGTAGTGAAAAGAATTAGGAACATGAGAAGAAAAATAAACATTGTTCTATTAATTAAAAAAAAACTGTCGTTTCTTGACATTTGCTCAACTTTATTTACTTCCCCTGCATAACATTGCAGGTGAATAATGTGCCTCTTGGAAGGAAGTCTTACTCTGGGGCTTTGGTGTTTTGTATTGTGGTTTAACCACCTCAGTACCAGGCACTTTTACCTCCTTCCTGCCCAGGCCAATTTTCAGCTTTCAGTGCTGTCGCACTTTGAATGACAATTGGGCGGTCATGCAACACTGTACGGATATGACATTTTTATCATTTTTTTTGAGACAGATAGAGCTTTTTTTTGGTGGTATTTAATTACCATTGGATTTTTATGTTTTGCTAAACATACAAAAAAAGACCAAAAATGTTGAAAAAAAAAAAGTTTTTTTCAGTTTCTGTTATAACATTTTACAAATAGGTAATTAACTCTTATGCTGATGTGTGCTGAGGCTGCACTAATGGGCACTGATGAGGCAGCATTGATGGGCACTGATGAGGCGGGACTAATGGGCACTGATGAGGCTGCACTGACATGCAGCACTGAAGGGCACTGATAGACAGCATTGATGGGCACTGATGAGGCTACACTGATATGCAGCACTGATGGGCACTGATAGCCAGCACTAATGGGCACTGATAGGCGGCACTGATAAGCAGCACTGATGGGCACTGATGGATCTGTGTAAATGTCTCTTGTCAGAATTGCCAGTTACCTGCTCTCCTCCCCTCACACTGTGACAGCGCATGAGGGAAGGAATGCCGATAACCATCAAGTTTGTTTACATTGTGATCAGGGCCGAATGTGTGCCCTATGGGGCTGGCGGGGGGGGGGGGGTATGTTTTTGGGAGGACGTCGATAGACACCATCCCAGAACTAGCCGACCGCTCTGTAGCCATCTTTTGGCTATAGCATGGTCAACAAGTGGTTACTTAAAGAGCTGCTAGTGTAGTAATTATTTGATCCAGGTATATAGGCATATTGACCGTTTTCAGGACCGCGGAAACAATCCTTGAAATTCATTGCTTCTTATATCTTTTGATGAAACCAGAAATGCAATTTCCTCACCAGCTAACTTGTGAGATAAAATTTGTAATCAATTGAAAATATTTTTGATACTTCAGATAAGTAAATAATACACGATAATAAGAATACTGCATGCATTAGGCTTTATTCAAGTGTCCCTTATTTAAGTAATGGCCAATATTTACCCCTGGCCTGGCTGGACTGTATGGGAACGGTCTGGCAGAGAAAGGTAGGGGGAATCCCAATTCACAATACCAGCATAGTGGAGCACTTGACAGTGATACTGATTCTAAGTGACATCATATTAGATGGTACCACCAACAGTCTACCCGCAGAGACTCATGGCTGTGCTATACTACAAATATGCTTTAAATGAATATATTTCACTCTTTATTTAATAGGCTGCTTCACTAAAAAAAGCTTGTCTTTTGCCAGCACTGGTTACATGACACCGAAGAGAGCGAGCATCTTGCTTATAAGCGCTAATAGTCCATGTAATCTTAGTCAGTTTACACAAGTTGCTATTATTTTCCTTTGACCTAGATTTCTGGTGGTTTTTCCTGTGGGAAAACATACTTATTATGAATTCTGAATGCCTAAGTTCTCTCTGACTCTCTGTCTCTGGGAGATTGCTAAAAAAATAGAATTAGCTGTAGGCTAAGCTCAAAGGGTGACTCCAATTTTGTATAATGAATAGGCCAAGGTTCAGAATTTCCTCCACACAACAGAAATGTTGGCAGGGGACACTTTGGCTCCAGAGCAAGTGTCATATCCCCATGAACGGACTTTATTAATGGCATGCATATCTTGTGCCATGGGGCTGTGATGTTCTGTACACACTGCCAGCTATATAAGCAGGTGTATTGTGTCAGATATTTCCATGGACTTGTATGCATCATTAGAAGAACATTCACTTTAACACATATGAGGAGGCCACTGCTATTGTTTCTCTCCTGTCATGTAAAAGAATATTTTCAATATTTGTATATCTAATGGACTTGCTTTATTGTATTTAATGTTCTAGAACACCGCTCTATTACATCTAATTAATATTTCTGGTGGATCTGTGTGTTCTTTCATGCTGATTTAATTTGTACAATAAACAATAGAGAAATTGAAAATTCCACAGATGCTCTATAAAGAGTTTTCAGAACCATTGTAACAACACACTGGGACAAAAGGACCAAGTAATTACATGAAAAATATGAGAGGAAATTAAATCACAATAATAGTAGAGGTAAGGACTTTATTTCTTAGTATATTCAATAGAGTTTTAATATGTAATTGAAACAAAATTCAAACAACCATCTAACAGTAACAGTGGTTCAAGAAAGGGGTGACTACTTTGCAGGATCAGTACCCCACTTGACCAAATTTACTGTATCTCCAAAATGAAGCATACACCATGTGAAGGTTAAGAGATGGTGGCTTGTGAAATTGAAAATTATATTGATCCAAAGTAATTAAATCATCAATATCAACATTTATTATTCAATGTAATGAATTGGAATGCTGAATTTTAGGCATACAGTAACACTGCAGATCATGTGTTTTAAAGGGATATTCCAAATAAAAGACTCCTACAGATGAGGTTTGGAACTCTATATAGAGAAAACATTTTAATGTGTTTATGATTTATTAGACTTGGATTGAATGGACACTTGTACTTCAAAGGTGGCAGCGTTTTGTCTGCCAAAACCCACATGCATACGTTGCATATCTTAAGGTCAGGCTCTTTAAAATAATATTTTAGACATTTCAGTAACACAATTCAGTGGCAGTATTATTAGTGTTACTTACATAAGACAATCATATTCTTTTTTTTTTTTTTTAATTTTCTGCCTACCAGCTTTGCCTATGTAAGCTGTTATCAGCAGGAAATTGGAAGGAGACTCATTTTCTGCTACCTAAAAAGCCTCTTGGAAAGAAGTGTTTAATATCGTGTGTGCCTAAAATGATATGCTAATCATTATTACACAAGGGCATGTTAATAACTCAGAAGGTTAGAATTTCAAGATGCAGTTAATTGTTTCATACACATAACCAGCAATATGGATGGCTCATAAATAAAATATGCTAATAAATGGTGATACCTTCTACAAGAGTTTTCATCTTCTAGTACCGTGTAATTACAAGGCAAGCAACAGTGTCAGCTAAGTAAGCATTATTCATGATGGTAGCCTTGAAACTATACACATAGGAAACCAACACTGATAAATGTTCACAAACAAAGTCAGAAAAGATGGAAAATGTTAATATTATGATGTATCTAAACCCAAAAACAAAAATGTAACCTTCCCCAGTGCTCTCTTTATTAACACAGGGAATGTGTTTTGTAGTCCACTTAGATAGGTGGGAAGTAAGTTACTGATACGCTGATAAAGTGCAGCACAGGCAGAGATTATAGGAAATTACCTGGCAGAAACAACAAGTATTAGTGCCCTGATCAAACACATACAGTATAACAAAAGGATACACAATGATACCTCAGTTCATGAATGCTTCTGTTCACAAACAACTCAGTTTGTGAACAGAGTTCACAAAAATTTGCTTCGGTTCGCAAACGCCACTTCGGTTGATGAACACGAGCCCATGCCATCTTCCCAGCTCTGACATGTGGTCGTGACTTCCTGTAGGCAAAATTTTGGTCACAGACAGATACTGAAAGTGTACTGTGAAGACACTTACAGTACTGAGAAGATTTTTGGTGTGCTTTTTAGCACATACTGTACAGTACTGTACTGTTCATCCCTGTGCACACTTGCTGTAAAGCTTTTTTGTGTGCTTTTTAGCACATACTGTACTGGGCATCCAGTATGGCTTCAAAGAAAATTCAGAGCAAGCATGGTGGTAAGAAGAAAGTGCGGAGTGGTAATGAAGGTGACAAGAATGTGCAGAGCAAGCATGTTGTTGAAAAGAGTGCAGAGTGGTAATGAAGGTAACAAGGACCTGCAGAGTGGTAATGAAGGTGCCAAGAACCTGCAGAGCAAGCATGGTGGTAAAAAGAGAGTGCAGAGCAGTAATGAAGGTGACAAGAATGTGCAGAGGAAGCATGGTGGTAAAAAAGTGCAGAGCAAGAATGGTAAGAATAAGGTTGTGAAGAAAATAACCATTGAGTCGAAGAAGGAAATTGTAGAAAAGCCTGACCATGGTATTCATGTGACTGTCCTGGCCTCAGAGTACAAGATGGCGAAGTCAGCAATCTCGACTATATAGAAGAAAGCAAGCTACCATCAAAGGAACTGATGATGTTAACCAAACAGAGGATGCAAGTGCTGGAAGAGGTGGAAAAACGTTTGTTAGTGTGGTTGAATGAGAATCAGCTGACAGGTGATAGCGTTAGTGAAGCTATGATCTGTGAAAAAGCCAGGAAATTGCACAGTGATTAACTGCAAAAAAAAAAAAACCTCTACAAGTGCAATAAGTGAAGAATTTAAAGCCAGTAGAGGGTGGTTTGAAAAATTCCGCAAGAGAAGTGGCATCCACAGTGTGACAAGATATGGCAAGGCTTCCATTTCTGATAAGGCCACTGCAGAAGCCTACAAGAAAGAATTTGCAGAATTCATGAAGGCAGAAGGATACGTCGCTCAACAAGTGTTCAACTGTGATGAAACAGGGCTCTTCTGGAATAAGATGCCAAACAGAATCTATATCACGCAGGAGGAAAGGCACTGCCGGGCCACAAGCCCATGAAGGAGATCTCCGCAATGTTATTATGGAGGGAGATTCTCCCTCCGAACAATAGCCGCCTCCCACCGGCCTTCCTGTCCTCCACACCAGTGTTCTCTCTCTTCATATTGTACTGTACTGTACTTTGTTTCCTAATTTTGTGGTTCAAAAACAAAAACAAAAAGTTCAGAATGGATTAACCTTATTTACATTGAACCTTATGGGAAAATGTAATTCGATTGGTGACCAACTTCAGTTTGCGACCATGTTAGTAGGGGTCAGAATGGATTAACTGATTTACATTGAACCTTATGGGAAACTTTTCCTCGGTTTGTGACCATGGAACGAATTAAGTTTGTGAACTGAGGTATCACTGCATTTAATAGAGTAGCAAATAACAAATAGGTGAAGTTCATTGTTAGAGTTTATGTACACCTTAATGCAGGGGCGGACTGACAATTCATGGGGCCCCCAGGCAATAGGGGATCATGGGGCCCCTGTATCCTTGCCCAAACTCAAAAAAGCCTATGAAAAAGGTACCAGGGGCCTCTCATGGGGCCCCCTACTAACCCCGGGCCCTCAGGCAGTGCCCGAGTTTCCAAATGGTCAGTCCGCCCCTGCCTTGATGGCAGCTCTTGGGCGGACATTATCCTAGTCACTGTAATCACACAGAACATTATAAAATAATAAATAAATAGGGCTATACTTTATGTGACTATTAGTAGCAGGAATAGACATATAGTTGAGAGGCTGCTCTGATTTTTTTTTTTTTGTTGACAGCCAAAATAAGGTTGACTAAAAATCAGCCAATCTTTCAAATTCTGAAAGGATTCCACTGGTCAGGCTAACACCACTTAATGGGCAACTTCTAGGTCCAACAAACATGTAACACTCGATGGTGAAATGAAGCACTAATCATCTAGTGGAAAAACACAATAATAATATTCCACCAAAATACATATCATACAAATGCAAAACTGTATGCAAGAGTCCAGAAG